ATATATATGTGCCTAATCTTATCACGCCTGAGGTAAAGCTCTTAGAACAGTTGTTCCCAAACTTTTCAGCTTTTGACCCACAAAATACCAGCAGCAGAGACCTGTGACCCCAGCTGTTGTTGGTTGATGAACATTGGTTTCACGTCAAACAAACAAGAGCATAGTAACATTATTTATTACTCTCTTTTTGTCTATTTTAAGTACACTAACTTTACTCATTTGTCACAACAAAGGCAAAATATTATTGATAGTTGTAATTTTTTAGTGTAATTAATTCAGAAAAATCTTTTCAGGACCCCACCTTGATGTTTCGGGACCCCACTGTGGGTCCCGACCCCAACTTTGGGAACCACTGCATCAGTTTCCTGCTTTGACCTTGTCATGACTTACCCAAATAGTTGGACCAGCAGTTCCTGGTCTGGTTCTGGTTGGGGAATCTGGCGTCAAAGGGAGCTGTGCGGTAGTTCTCCAGTTTGGCCTTAATGTCCTCAGCCATCTCTACAGTCTGTCAAAACAATATAACCAGTAAACGTACAACACATATGGCTTTTTTTCTTCTAGCATTTAGCCGCCGTCACCCATATTAAACAAGACTCTGTGTGTTTCCTGCAGAGACAAACCGACCAACAAACACTCGGAGCCCTGGTGTGGGGGTTGTATGGACGGGGGGAGGACTGGCTTTCAAAATATCCACACAGACCAGGGCCTTCCTACGCAGTTAGTGAAGGACAAGGSTCTGTTTTTTACCAGGCTACACCTGCTCTGGTTCTGCAGAGGATTTAATTTAGGAGAAATAGTTTGGTTGCCGCATGCAGTACCTGGAGCTGTTTATAGAAATGCGGCGCTGTAACACTTCAGAGTGAGCTAACAAAAAATATATATAATTACGACAACGTTTAAGACACATTTTAACACCGTGATAGTCATGTTTTAAACTTAAAACGTAGAAACCATAAAATAAAACGTCTGAAATGACATTGAACACATAATGGCCTCCCAGGTCATAGAGGCATTTCCTCATCGGACATGTTTCATTACATTAGTCTATTAAAAACGGTTACGCTTTAGTAAAATTAAACTTAAACAGCAGCTAACATTTATCCGTATTAAATGCATTACCTCCCGTTTCCAATAGGATTATTAAACCGTTTAAAACAAACAGATAAACATTACCTTTGTCGAACTGTGGACTCGAGCTCGGTGACTTTAACCGCTCGGTTAATGTTTGCTGCTCCTGTGATATGATGCGCCACGAGCGCCTCGCGCGTGCGTTCCTGTGCGGAGAAATTGCAGCCGTGCAGTCCCGGTACAAGTGTATGGCGGACACAGACAAGTCACATTGAAACGAGTAGGGGTCTCTGCGGTCACACTCGGCTCTGATGTTTATTAAAATGCATTCAAAGTGCCGCGGAAGTAATGTGGTATAACTTTTAATGCTAAATGTTATGTKTCGCACATAATTCCTTCAAAGGCGGAAGTCAGTATTTGTGTCAATCATTAACAGGTGTATTCAAGTATGTTTTTTTTTTTCTGGGACGTGAACCTAGTCGGTATAATGTTTTTTTCCCCTCCATTTTCCCCTGGAAAAGAATGGAGAAATTCGTTWACAAACGCTGACTGAAATCAGGAATTCACGTCGGAATGTCTGAAAGTACGTCGTGAGAAGGCGCAGAAATGTCAGAAATGTGTTTGCGGCGGTGTTTCTGGAAATAACCTTTTGTATACAGGCTCATACATTTTTATTTTTTACAATATAACTTCTCAGCCATTCGGCGGCACCTATATCGACTCTAGTGTAACAACAATAACAAAAACTACTACGAGCTGTGTGTGTACGGTATGACAGCCAGGACATAGCTATATATACAAGAGATCCCCACGGACTGGCGCTGGAGCGTACGTATCAGTGCGGCCGCCATCTTGGATGGGTACCTCTCACGCTCTGGGCCTAACATAAAAGCAGTGGGTGCGCCCGGCGCGTTTATTTATACTGAGAAAGCTGTTCATTCAACTAAAATAACTGCAACTCCATGTTTGTTACAAACAGCWGAGATGTAGTTRTGTTAYTGGACACRGTCACACAATAAAAATAAGAGCTTTCATGCTGAAATACTTTTTATTATCTTATATTGTCCCTTAAATTGTCTTTATTTTCCCTCAGTGGTAATATTCAGGTGCATCAGCAGCAAAGTGACAGGAAATTCACACAGGGAGAACATATTTTGTATGAATAAGAAAAAAAGACATTTTTAAAGAATTTAAAGAAAATACATTTTGTAAAAAAGAAATGTTTGTTATTTCTCTTTAACACAATCCTTAAATACTTATTTACATGGCAAAACACAAGAATTTATTCATATATTGTTTTATTGTGCTGTGAATGCACACGTGCACATACGTGTGTAGCTATACAGGTACACACATACGTATATATAGTATATATAGATGTGTGTATGTATGTATGTGCACACGAGTGTGCATTCACAGCACAATTAAACAAATAGGAATGATTTCTTTGTTATTGCTGTGTAAATAAAGACTATTTTAGAGAACAAGTATTTCATCATGAAAGTTCTTCTTTTTAATGTATATAATGTTAAATCAGTGAGTCAGAGAACAAACATCAGCAAACTGTAAACAAAAATTTCATCTTCATTTGTACGTGTGAGGGTTCACAAAGAGAGACACACAGCAGATTGGTCAAAAAATGTTACAACCTCAAAATACTAAACTATTGGAAAACATCAAAAATTGAATTATAAAGTTCAACTTGTCCGTCTGCTGACATGCAACATGATGTGACGTCATGCAGCTGTGCCTTCTTGTTGCAGCTGGGCTGTTTACACTGAGGAGCTGTTTACACTGAGGGGCTGTTTACAGTGAGGGGCAGGACCACTGCAGCTGCCCCTCCAAAGGAACTGACAACTCAAAGGAAAAAAAAAAGTTCAAATATTGCAAATGATAAAAAAAACTATTACAAAATGTTATCTATATGTGTGCTCTGTAAATAATTACCCTAATATGAAATAAATGATGCAAATTTGTTTGATTAAACTACATATTTAAATTCTAAATTAACGTAGAATAATTAAATTTGTACATTTACGAAAAAAAAAAACAACCAAAAAACAAACCCATACGATACCAAACAGTAAAATAGTGACACAACCTTTATTTACTGTGTGTCTGCAGGTGCTGCAGTCACAGTATGTTTATACTAAAGCATTATTTACATTTTAACATCASCTCTAATCCTKACGATCTGARCCGTCCTGTCAATCTTTTGTCTTGAAGTGCTCTCTTCAGAGTTTGAATGAGCAACAAAACCCTCTGTTCTCATTAGACCTTCTCAGTCTGTCACTAGGAGGTCTATGTGAAGAAAAAACACAGGAAGAGATAAAGAGAACCAGTTCCTGCTGTTGTCATTTTGTTGATTGACAAATAACATTAGCTACAATGATAAAATATTATAAATGTCAAATAATCAAAACTATTGTTCTTATAAAATAATAAGTAAATTGTTACTTATAAAAAGGTAATTACGTGATCTACTTTCAAACCTTCATAGGTTGATGCACCAAATAAGGWCTCTTGCTCCAGTGCTGCCTAGAGTGGAGATCCCCATCCAATATGGCGGCSCCGCGCGATGTGWTTCTGTCCGCCATGAGGTTTCTAGTTATTTATATAATAACTATGAGCCAGGCAACGCGTCTCCGGCTGTGTTGACGTCATGCTCCGCATGGGCGGCACGCCCCTGTCATTTCGCAATTCAAAGTGCGCATGCACTATACTGAATAACAAAAATGTTAAATATATATATATTAATTTAATGGTTTGCACTTAGTTTGGTTTTAAAATATCCAATTACTTTTTACGTTTGTTTCAGTACTTTTAATCTTTTTGTCCCCTAAAACATACTGTGAAAGTGTTAACGAGATGAAGAGGAATTGATTAAAATAAACAATGTTTGTGACCATGCTTGTGTAATCCAAGCCCAACTTCAAGTATTTAGTACATTAGGTTTCTCAATTATATATCACTAATGACAAAGTTAAAGACRAGAATATTTTTATTTATATATATCCAATGTAAAACATTAAAAGGAAAACGAGCTTTACAACAATAAGTGTTACAGTGACGTCTCAGCTTTGAGTCCAAATTTAAAAAAAAGTATGGCAGCGGAGTTTCCAAGATCTGGAATAAGATTACTTGTAGTACAGATTAAAATGGTCTCCATCCGTAGAGAGCATTATAGAGGCCTGAGTCATTCCTTGGAAACTGCTGAAATGACAGCATCTTGGATACAGGAAGTCACCAGCATTCATGTCTTGATTGTCCACCATCTCATTGACTTCAAGTTTGTCTCTTTAAAGTTTTCACAAACATAACACATGTTTGCTTAGAGTTCACTTTTCGATCAGAGGGGGTTCTGTTGTTTTCCACATTTCAGTATATTCACAGTACAACGCTTGTCAAAAATTGCCAACTTACCCTGAATGTTTCCAGACTTTTGACTAGTTTGTTATTTTTAATATATCTGTTCAACATAAACTAAACTTTACTTCTAGTAAAATAGCCCTGACACTCTAAAAATTTCTCTGAAGGCCACTGTAATTGGAAATACTTTGAAAAGAAGAACCTGTGCAGTGACAACCTTTAAAGCAAAAAAAAAAACAAATAAACCGATTGCATAGATATTAAAAATAATGTTCCAGCATTTAAACCTCTGAGAAGAGCTTTGTAGTGATGCACAAACCTATTATAACAGTACAGCAAGGAAGGCTTTGTAGAGTTAATCATCAGCAAAACAGCAGCTTCTTCAACCTTTGATTAAAGTTTATGTGCAATCAAGTCTGGGGACGTAATGCCCTGGTTTAGATTTAAAACGTTCTGAAGGAATCTTGTCACCTAAAATTAAGTTCAAAACCTCAAAATAAAAACAGCTTTCTTTGGTTGTTAACAGCTGAAAAAGGCAAAACTGACTATCATGCTTTGGTTTTAAAGTCCAAGGGAGTCAACAAAACCCAAACCCCTTCACCCGTCACTGAAGCGGAGTCGGTTAAAGACTTCTTTCATGTCCTCGTCAGACATCGATCCCCCGCTGGTGTCGGTGCGGAGAACCGTGCACAGTGGGACGTCCTGCTTCAGCTTCCGCTTGATGAGGGTCACCGTGCCTTCGGCTTCCTTCTTCTCAGGACCCGTCAAAAGGAGGTAAGCAGCATGGCGTCCACTCTCCATCAGTGTGGCTAAAATAAAAACAACCAATAAAAGATCTCAACTGTTTTTTTTTCATCATTACCCAAATCCAGTAGTTTCAAAACTGCTTCTCCCCGTTTGGTTTATTGATTTTTATTCCCAAAAAGGCCCCTCTGTGCAAAACGAGTTTAAAACTATGAACAACTCCCTGCAAGGAAAAAAATGGAGGCTC